CTCTGGGAAGCTGTGGGGGTGGTGGGTAAACGCCCCACAGACAATATGTATTATGACAATGTTCTGAAAAATGGCTCAGGTTAAAAGTACTCTCTGTTCTTTCAGAAGACTGAGGTTCAGTTCCCAACACCCGTGTCAGGTAGCTTTCAATCATATGCAGGCAGTTCCAGCTCTAGGGAATCTGGTGTTCTCTTCTGGCCTCTGAAGGTACACACACGTACACACACACACACACACGCACGCACGCACGCACGCACGCACGCACGCACGCACGCACGCACGCACGAACGCACGCACGCACGCACACGAAGAAAGAAGTAGACAAATAGAAGACAGAGGCAGACCCTGCAACAACATTTTAAAGAGCTGAGAGAGGAACTCACAGTCAAGTCAGAACTCTCAGCTGAGAAAACACCCTGTAATAACATAGGAGAAAGAGTCTTCCAATAGAGAAGCTGACGGAGAGTCCTTGAAGGACGTGTCTGGGCTGAAGAAGTGTGAACATGTAAAGGGAGCAGCAGACTTGTGGCAAAGTCTCCCAGTCCAGCTCTCTAATCTTTAATTTCTCCACAGTACCTGAGGGTTTGAGGTGAGATCTCTAACATTGCATTAGGGTTTACAACTCACTAGAGGAGAGGTCGCAGCATTGGTACACAGGACGGGGCGGGGGAGGGGGGGACTAGGCTCAGGGCTTACGGACGGTGGTACCAACTTCAAGCTTACTGTCGTGAGCTGAATCTGTTTGTTTCCTTGGAGGAGCTACAGACTTGGCTCCTTGGGACCACATTCTCTGCTACTAATTAACTGTCATCTGTGCCATGGTTCACATGTGGGGCTTGAGATCGGTGTGCACACACAGCTTTGTCATGCATCTGAACTTCATGTACTTTTCTGCTCAGCTGCCACACCTGCTGCTGTCCCACACAGGCCATGATCTGGCTTCCCACATCTCACCATTGGAAACAGTACAGCTCTTTCCAAAGAAGCACCTTAGCTAAGATGACGCGAGGGCTAACATTTAGACACTGTTCTGAGTGCTGAGTGGACTGAAGTGATTTATCAGTTATTCTTTCTTCCCCTTCCATCCCTACTCTTCCTGCTTCTTTTCTGACCCCTTGTTGACCCCTTTCTAGGTGGGAGAGTGGGGCAGAAACTGAGTTGGAAACCAGTTATCTGGTAGGCTGTTTGGGGAAGAATTGGGGATCAGATGCTCTTTGGTTTACTCCAGGCTGGAGGGACTGACTTGAGTCATGCAGCAGAGCTGTTGAGGGTGAGGAGGACTTCACTGTCTGTGTGGGATGGGCTGGTAGCAGTGGCCTCAGCCACTGCTCTGATGTGAGTCCAGGGAGCCTTCTGTTACTGGCTCTGTGCCTTTCTCAGGGGATTCTTTTTTCCTTAGGCTATTCTTTGGCCCCAGCTGAAGACTGTCCTTCTCTACAGAGCCTCATTTCCTTTGTGTCTGCTGAATGAGCATTTCCTGACTGATGTCACTGTGCACTGAGCACCCCCACCCCGCCCCGCCCCCACATGCACTTACTAATGTGCTGCCCTGCAATTTCAAGCAGGCTGTATTCTAATTTCACATTCATATTTATTTCCAAAATTAAAATGCAAGCAGCCCAAAGGCAGGAATAAAAGCCTTCACACTTATCTTTGTGCCTTCTAGTGTCTAGCGTAGTGTAAAGCACATATTGAATGTTTAATAAATGCATGATTTTTTTTTTTTTTTTTTTAAGATTCTGGGGTCTGGATAGATGACACAGTAGTTAAGAGCACTTGCTGCTCTTCCAGAGAATCTGAGTTGGTTTCCAGCACCCACCTCAGGCAGCTCATAACCTTCTGTAACTCCAGCTCTGGGGAATCAGATACCTTCTTCACCTGCACACATGTGACATTTCCTACACACAGACACACATAAATTAAAAAAAAAAAAATCCTTGCTGGGCTGGAGAGTTGGCTCAGCAGTTAATAGCATCGCTGTTTTTCCAGAAGACCTGGGTTTGGTTTGCAGCACCCACATGGTGGTTCACAACTGTCTGTAAGTCCAGCTCCAGGGGATCTGACACCCTCCTCTGGCACCAAGCTCACATGTGGTGGATAGATATACATGTGGGAAAACATCCATAAACATAAAGTCAAAAACCAACAAACCCTTGTAAGAACACCTTCCTGTCTTGACTGGAGCTGCGTATGGGGACCTGGAAGAGAAAGTCTGCACTGACTAGGGATTCAAATGCCACTCCTGCGTCCTTGTCAGCCTCCTAGAGGGGAGTGGCAAAACGCCATCACTCTGACTACTGGAAACTGGAAGAGGACTAGCTCCAAACAGTCACACACCTGAGTCTCACTGAGAAGCTTCCAGACTCTGTAGTGGGAAGGCAGTCTTTTCCATAACTGCCCACACAGATGAGACTGACAGCTGGTGAGGAGTTGGCATTTGTGAAACCACATCAACATGAAATGACAGCTCTCTCTCCCTGTTCAGGACGGTTCTCCCTCAGCGGGCTGTCAAACTTGGATCTGTGATTATATCACATGCCTGGAACATGGAGACACTGCACTCCTTAGAACTAAGTCTTAATGCTTTTTCTAAACTTTTGCAGTCAAGGGACTGATGGGACTTGTCGGCTGTGAGTGAAAGACAGCAGCCAATTTTCCCAATGTGTAAATACAAATGTGGTTTGAAAATTTGGCCTTACATATCAACAGTTCCGATTAGTTAAGCTGTGACTGTTTTTCTTGCATCTGCTGGGACAGGGCTCTGGTGGAGGGAGAGAAACAGACAACTGCTGTTCCCCTGAGTAGTTCCATTGGGCCAGGAGAGATGGGAACAAGAATCCCCGAGGAAGCTGTATCTATGTGGAAGGCCCTGCGGACTGCCCGACTGACTAGAACTTCATAGAAAGTTTGAATGTTGCAGATCACAAGCCAAAATTATCTTGGCTCCTCTTGTTTTTATTAAATTTTAATTTCACGTGCATGGGCATTTTTGTCTGCATGTATGTATATCTGTGTACCATATGCACAGACAGCTGTGAGCAGCCATGTGGGTGCTGGGGCTCGAACCTGGGTCCTCTGGAAGAGCAGCCAGTGCTCTTAACTGTGGAGCCATCTCTCCAGCCCCCCTGGCCTGTCTGCTCGTACCAAGGTGACAAAGCATCCTGGTGACTGCAGATTTTCAGGAGGTCACTGCATGCCAACCTCAAAGCCAAGAATGTCATCAGAGACTCTGTCCCCTCTGCTCGGCTGTCACTTGTCTAATTAATGTCCCCACCCATATACTTTGTAAGCACCCTGACTTGTGACTTTAAGCTCACGACACCCCTTCCACAGCAGATGTCATTCAGAACAATCTGACTCCTCCGGAGCAAGAGTGGTGGATGGCACTAACACCGGAGTCAATCTTGACTGTCAACTTGACAGGATTTAGGAGTCACCACGCATGTCTGAGGGGACTCTTCTAAGATAGGTCAAAAGTGGGTGGCCCGCTCCCATGGGCTGGGTCCTGGCTGCATATGGAGAAAGTGGGCTGAGCACCAGTACTCATTTCTGTCTGCTTGCTGCGGCCCACTGTGACCAGCTGCCGCACCTTCCTGCCATCACGATGCACTGCACCTTGGGAACTAGGAGCCCAAACAAACCCTTCCTTCCTTAAATTGCATCTGTCACACCAATGGGAAAAATACACACCATCTCCAAAGTGCTGCAAGAAAGGGACTCTCTTACCTTCCCGTCGGTCGTTCCTGAGGACCCTCACTTTCTCAATTTTCCCCAACAGGGCCCCGTCCTCAGCTAAGGAGAGAAAAGAGGCAGAGAATGGTGAACCCTGAGTCTACACAGGGCTCTAGGCTGGAGGCCACATACTCAGTCACCTTTTCCCTGGGGCCTCTGGAGGGCATCTCTTCCCTGCACCAGGTGCCTGCTGCGTGCTATACTGCATTAGGTCACTCCTCCCAGACACCCCCAAACCAGGAAGGCTGACGCCAGGGGTAAGGCTGTGAAACTCACGGTCATTGCTGTAGTCGTCCACCAGGATTATCTCCTTGATGAGATGCGGTGGACTCCTCTTAAGGACACTGAGGACAGACAAAGGGAAAGAGGGACAGAGCCTTGTAAGGGCAGAGCTCTGCTCCAAGCTGCCTCTCTCTTGTGGTCCCCAGCCTTGGCTAGAGGAGCCAATAGCTACCCCATACCCCATGCTTGGCAGCTGGATGACCTTGCCTGTAGCCCCTGCTGTCTGTGCCCGAGAAGCCGCTGTTTTAGGTACCTCCACCCTTCCTGTGAGATACAGGAGCTATCTGTTGGCCTCACCTGACCACCGTCCGCAGCAAGGCTGATCTGGCTTCATTGTGAAATGTGATTACCACGCTGGTGGCTGGCAGGTCCACCCGCCACTGCTTCCGCTGACACCTGAGGAAAAAGAAAGACTATCCTGTGGACAAAGGACACAACCAGCTGGGATCATCCCTGCCTGACAAGTAGAGTGGGCTGCCAAGACCAAAAGACTGTGGCCAGCCCATCAGCTGTGGGAGGTTCTGGAAGAGATGGGACACATGGAAAGAGAAGATACAACCAGATTCTGCTTACAGACAAGGGAGTTCTGTAAGCTGTATGAAGTGGAAGCAGGTTTCTAACATGCAAATTGTGTGTTCTAAAGCAGTGAAACCCTCCCACACTCAGGCAGACACACCTCAGCCATACACACGCCTGCCTCAGTCCTCAGCAGTTGTTTGTGGGGACTGGTGCCATTGATTTCTCTCCACTGTGCTCTGTAACCGGCGTGGGCTGCCTGGGTGACTGGCTCGTCAGTCACAACCCACTGGCTGCTGTCCTCCACAAGGTCTGCCAGCTTCCACGTAACCTGGCGACTGTGTTCATGGAAACAGCACTAGCAGGTGGGCAGGCACATTAGACTACCTGAAGCCCAAGGCCATAAGGACCTAGGCTGGCAAAGATGCCAGGGGGCACAGGACCTTCGTTCGACTCTGTGGATGCCTCACATGTGAAGACCAGTTTTAAAGACACCTCTTCTGGGCCTTGGCTGAAACATTCAAGTATCACATGGTCCAAGTACCCAGCACAATAGGATCCAGCTCAGCAGAACCCATGTGAGGAGTTCTTGCAGGCAAGTCTGGGGATGCCAGCACAGAGCAGTGTCCCAGTCTCTACACGGCCCTCTAGGGAGGGTGGAGGACTTGTCAGAGCCCCAGGAAACTGTCAGCTGTGTCTGGGTGCAGCCTGAGTCCTGAGTCGCCAACGGTGATGCCACTGACTCCAGAGTGGAGGGTTGAGAGGGTGTGCTGAACTGAGGAGGGAACTGTGAACCCCACGGGGGTCCAGTCCCTGCCCCAGGCTCCGCCATGGCCCTACACACTGAAGACTCAGTTTATCTGGCAGCTTCATCATCGGTCCCAATTAGTATCTATCTTGAATGAGAATAGGTGGGAGAAGGAGATGGACTTGGAAGAACCCTGGAGCTCAGTCATGGTTCAACATTCAACCACTGAGGTGGATGCTAGAGTGGCAGCTGCCGACAGCGGCACAGACGTTGAGAGGGCAAGCGCCAGGGCACATGTGCTCCCCTAGGACTGACAAAATGAGCTCAGACCCACAGACTTGAGCACAAGCAAGAAAAGCAGCGCAATTAGAAAGCAATTAGGCTAGGATTGCAGAAGGGGCGTCTTTGGTTAATTTTAGTCATTAGAGTAAGTTCCTTTTAATTAATCACCAAAAAAATGTGCAGCAGTTGTTTGGGGGGCTAAAGGGGAGTGAATTCTACAGTTAGTATCTGGTCTCACTGTAAATGAGCCTTCATGGACAAGCAGACTGATAAAAATGAGCAGAAAGTTGTATTAAAGATTCTGCAAAGCTTCAACTGTAAACAAGTCGCCGCATGATGTCACTGTCAAGAAGCCAACCTGTAATGCTCCAGGAGGAGGGCTCTGTGCTTGAGGCACCTCACCCTCTGCAGCCAAGTCTCCACTTAGACCAGAAGGAATGACTGAGCCAGCAGATCTGGGCTGAGAGACTCAATAAGGCTTACAGGGCTGGGTGGGAATGCGAGAAACACGGGGCAGCATTTTTCATTCTCAAATTGCTGGATTCTAGGTCCATCCAATCATGCCCTATTCTCTCGTTTTCCTTCTCTCTGCAGGAGCTCATCTTCCAGGAGCTTTTGGAAGTCTCCTGGGGCTCTGGAAGCATTTCTAGAAGAAGCAGGCTGCTGCTTCACACCATTTTATTAAAGCTCCTCTACATATTCATAAGGCATCGGGTTCTCAGTCTTAGCAATCATGAGGCTTCAGCAGGATCCCATCTTAAGGTAGAGGAGTAACAAGAAGAAACCAAAGGATCGCACACCCCATGGGTTGGAGTGTGTGCATGAATCCAGATAAGTCTCACACTCAACCAAGATGGGGCCCCAGGGGAATCTCTTTAAAAAACAATGAATTTTGCATTTAAAGAATCTTCTTGGTCCTGTCAGCCAGCCCTTGCCTCTCCAGAGGCAGTGGGAGCCAGGGTGGCAGCTGTTAAGAGTCACCTGCAGCTGGGGTCCCTTTTCCCAGAGCCATACCACTAGAAGCCTACTCTGGGCCTAGTTCACTTGAGGCTCCAAAGACTTGGTATGACACAGTCATTCGGGAAGCTTCCTGTCCATTAAAATGGCAACTTGACAAACCAGACACATAAAGAGAAAATACACACACACACACACACACACACACACACACACACACACACACACACGAGCAACACTAAATAGATTCAGCAGGTTGCATTTATATATATTCATAAATAGTAACAGTAATAATTAAAGAGAAAGAGGCCATGAATTTGAGCAGGGGGCAGTGGAGAGGCTGGGGGAAACTATATAAACACAGTATACATATATGAATTAAAAAAGTAAACTTAAAAGATTTTTAAAAATCTGTAGTTTAGCTAGAAATAAGTCCAGAAGAATCCTGCTTCTCCAGGACATGACTCTCACCTTTGCAAATACTGGGCCTTTTCCCTTCTCTGCTTCACTTTTCCCAACAGCAAACCAAAGCTACAGCTGACCCTCAGGGACAGACTGAATTCACAGTCTACATTCGCAGACTGAATGATCTGAATACTGTTGGTCCATTTGTAAAGAGTAATAGACGTCACTGTGACCAGCCCTTGATATGATGGCCTTACTGATCCTGGCACTGTCCATAGGTATCACAAGGGTAAGGCTGAGGACACACAGTGAGAAATTGACCAGAACATGTCACATACCTAAGGTGAGGGTCAAGTCCTGGCTACAATAAAGTCATCAAGGTGATGAGAGCCCCCAGGTCTCTTGGCAGGCAACATCAACTCATGTGACATCACGGCATTCGTTATGTAGCTCATTAGTTAATGTAGAGACCATAACAAACAGGCAGGTCTTCACTCTCCAGTCATGTCTTACCAGTCTGCAGTACTGCCAACTGGTTCAGAATTCTCACATGAAATGGCAGGTGACAATCAACAGTTATCATCCTTCCATGTCCCTTTACACCTCAACCCCCATTGTCAGTGGAGGGAACCACTACCCCAGATTTGGTGCTCAGTCATTCCTAGGTGTGTTTTCAATAAATCACATACATAAAAGACATAATACGTATTCCTGAACAACACATGGCATCAGGCTACACAGGCTCAGAGCTGATGTAGAGGATACACAGAGGATCACTGCTCGCCTGGGCATATCAGCTTTGCCACACAACCCTGCTGTGCTCAGGCCACACTGTCCCTTCCTGTTCTCCATCAGGAATAAGGAGGGGGCAATCTGTGTACCGAGGCACTCCCCTACAAACCCGAGGTCACACAGCCTCCCAATTCTCACCCCAAAGTGCTGAGACGGCAAATACGCACCACCGTGCCCAGCTCATGGTTTCTATTTCTTGAGTGATTCTGGTAATAACATTTTCCTAGAAAATTACCCATTCCCTTTAAGTTTAAAACGTCTTTGCTTAGAAGTGTACTTGCCATTTTCTTATGCCTTTAGCTGCTCTGGTTATTTCCCAGCAGACGTTATTAAACCATGTGCTCTGTTTTGGCTAACAGCTAGCCTTGGAGATGTATTTTTAAGATGAAGCTGCACACAATCCTCCGTGTTGTTTCACTTTTCTGGTGTGCTCACCTTCCTCCCTGCCTCCCCTCCTCCTCCTCTTTCAGGGTTATCCTGCTATCCTGCCACCTCGGGTAGGAACAGACCAGGCTGCCCCATACAAGGAACAAAGCTGACTTGGGTTATTTGTTCCCACCTGGAGACACGGGGAGTTCTGCTCTGGCCAAGAGGAAGTGAGTGGCGCCCTGGCTCTGTGAAGACAGCGGGGAGGTGCCTGCCTCTATCCTGAGCTGAGGTCTGCTCCTGCAGTCAAGTGGGAAGGTAAAGGGCTGGGAGCCCCGTGGCTGCTCTGACTTCCTCCCCACACTCAGCACTTGTATGCACAGGAGTCTCCACAACACGCTAACAGCCAAAAGTTCTGAAAGTCTGAGGAACTGAAAATAGACCCTCTGCTTCCTAGCTGGCATATGAATGTAGGAAGGGCTGTTCCCACCCTGGCACTGGGGCGTCGGCTGTGAGAAGAGCCAATGGCTACTGGAGGCCTGAATCTCCCGTCCTTCTGCTTGCCCACAGAAAATGCTGGATCAGTTCCTCTCAGTCAGGGGAAGACAGCTCTGTCATCTCAGTGGCTGCCATGGCAATTGCTACAATGCTCCCCAAAGGGTCCGGAACAGCACTGTCTACCACTGTGTGGCTAGGGCTTTTGCCGAGCCAGAGCTGACCACTGATATGGGGCTGGAAACTTGTTGCCCACTCAGGAGCTGGCACAGGGCAGGCAGCTGCTAAGACTACAGACTGCTGACCACCACAAAGCCAAGTTGGCCAGGAGTCACCAGACTCGTGTGCAGAGCTTAGTACAAAGCGGGTGCCTGGCTTGGTATTGTTCATGACCTGAACAAGCAGGCCAGGCAAAAAAAAAAAAAGAAAGAAAAAAAAAGAAACAAACAAACAAACAAAAACAAACAAACAAACAACAAAAAAAAAAAACACCTGGGCTATGCTGAAGCAGCTGTCCTTAGGTTCATTTTTAAAAAATACTTATTTTGTAAGTTCTCATATACACATGTACTTGTGTTAAGCCTATTTCCCACATACCCTCTTCCTTCCCAAGAGTCTCCTTTGTTTCAACCTAAACAGTTTCATTTCTACTTTTATGTTATACATATATGATTTTATGTATTTATCTAAAGTCTAGGATCCACAAATGAGAGAAAACATGACATCTTTCTGAGGTTGGCTTAATTCACTTAATACAATTATCCCATATTGCATCCATTTTCCTACAAATGGCATGACTTTGTTCCTTCTTTATGGCTGAAACAATCCCCGTTTC